TCCCACAAATTTTGTATGACATTTAAAAGGAAAATAGTTATGCTAACAAACAGTAAAGATTTTAGTAACACTTTAGAGATCTTGTTTCATATGTTTTCTGTGGGTTACTTTGTAAATCTGATTGAAATGCAACTGTAAATGATAAGGATTTAATTTAACCAATGTTTAACTTTATAATTTTGTAGGGGCATGTATTTCATGTACAAGAAATACAACTGGGTTTAACTGTGAAAGATGTAGAGATGGGTACAGAGGGGATGCCATTAATTATAAAAACTGTACAGCTATCAGTAAGTATCAACTAGGTTTAATTGTGAGAGATGTAGAGCGGGGTACAGAGGGGATGCCATTATTTATAAAAACTGTACAGCTATCAGTAAGTATGAACTAGATTTAATTATGAGAGATGTAGAGAGGGGTACAGAGGGGATGCCATTATTTATAAAAACTGTACAGCTATCAGTAAGTATGAACTAGATTTAATTATGAGAGATGTAGAGAGGGGTACAGAGGGGATGCCATTATTTATAAAGACTGTACAGCTATCAGTAAGTATGAACTAGGTTTAATTGTGAGAGATGTAGAGAGGGGCACAGAGGGGATGCCATTATTTATAAAAACTGTACAGCTATCAGTAAGTATGAACTAGGTTTAATTATGAGAGATGTAGAGAGGGGTACAGAGGGGATGCCATTATTTATAAAAACTGTACAGCTATCAGTAAGTATGAACTAGGTTTAATTGTGAGAGATGTAGAGAGGGGTACAGAGGGGATGCCATTATTTATAAAAACTGTACAGCTATCAGTAAGTATGAACTAGGTTTAATTATGAGAGATGTAGAGAGGGGTACAGAGGGGATGCCATTATTTATAAAAACTGTACAGCTATCAGTAAGTATGAACTAGGTTTAATTGTGAGAGATGTAGAGCGGGGTACAGAGGGGATGCCATTATTTATAAAAACTGTACAGCTATCAGTAAGTATGAACTAGGTTTAATTGTGAGAGATGTAGAGAGGGGTACAGAGGGGATGCCATTATTTATAAAAACTGTACAGCTATCAGTAAGTATGAAAAGTATGAACTAGGTTTGATTATGAGAGATGTAGAGATGGGTACAGAGAGGATGCCATTTTTTTATGAAAATGTGCAATTATCAGTAAGTATGGAGAATTAACAGAGTTTAGCTGTTGTGAGATAGGTAAACTGTCATTGAAGAAAGACCAAATTTTAAATCTTGTTTTTATGTACTTCATTGGGTGCATGAAGGCAGGCAATGCTGTGCAGTTTACAGTGTGCAATGAGGGAAAGTTAGCAGAACAGTATCATTATTCCACTCTTTTTTCCTTTCCAACTGTAAAGGAACTTTAATGTGCCTGTAGGATGGAATATATCTAGGTAAGGCATTATCCTGATCATACAGTGTAAATATTGACTGACAGATAACTTATATTTGATATCCAGTAAAGGAAACTGATTCTAAGATATTTGAGGGGACTTTCTTATGAGAAGGGTAATGGGTTAAGTTCATTAAATGATTATTTTCAGGTGATCTAGATAAAGATCTACTCCCATTACCAGCTGGTTATATTGCTGGTATAGTGATAGCTGTTATCTTAGTCTTATCTTTTATACTGGCTTTTATTGTTTATAAATGGTGGAAATTCCCCACCATGAAACCATTCTGGACAGTGGAGCTTAAAGAGGATCATGAAGGCGTCAGCTTTAGTGCCGTGGACGATCAAGAATTTCTGAAAGCCACAGAAACCAGGAATAAAGAAGGACAATTCTATGAGAAGCAAGGGCGAGGAATGAAGTATGCACAGCTACGAGAAGATGTTTAAGATTGAAATGTTTTTTGAATTTGGTCTGGTTTTAGGTAAGAGTTATGTCCCTTTTTACCCTTAAACTTCCATGAGTAAAATTTCATTTTCTTAATTATTATACAGAATTATTATGATAATGAAAAACAGAAACATTGAGATGAGTTCTTACTCATTAAACCTTTTTACGTAATTTTATGATAATTACAAATACTTAACGCAACAGAATTTATAATAATTACAAAAGTTATATTAATATAAAAGTTATGAGTTCAAAAGAGTTGATGTTTTATAGATTTATGGACACGAATACAACCGATAAAAGGTTGGAATGGTTTAAGCTATGAGGCCATGATAACAAGTTATTAAAGTTATAACAAGAATAAGTCAGTTCCTTTTAATTCTCTTTTGTAGTATTTTTTACAGTAGAGAAATTGATAATAATGAATATGTATTGTGTATAAAGATGACTATAGCTTAACCTTTAGCCATTAACCTTTAACCTAATTTGTAGGAAGAATATTATAGATCTGATCGAGAAT